AAAATTAAATTATTTAGAAACATTTATTTTTAGAACATCATTTAAAATGTCTATTTTGGTGGAAGTATTAAATAGATAAATTATATACAAACAGAAATCTTTCATGGATATTAGCTTTAAGTTTTTTTTTTTCCCCAGCACTGGAGATTGAATCCAGGGCCTTCACCCCAATCTCTCTCTCTCTCTCTCTTTTTTCAAGTTGGAGATAAGGTCTCACTATATTGCTAAACTGCCCAAGCGGGACCCAAACTTTCAACCTTCTTGCCTCATTCTCCCAGAGCGCTGGAATTACAAGCATGTGCCACCACTACCGGCTGAAACAGTTTTTTGGCTAATGAGCAAGATGAACACGGATCGCTGTTCTATATGTCACAGAATCATCTGAGGCAGTAAATATACCCAAACATACGCATTCATGTCTCTGAAGCCTCAGACCAAAAGAAAAAGGCATCTTCCCTATAAATACACCAACAAGGAAGAAGAATTATCTTCTGCTTATCTTGCACCTGGCTTACCTTGGCCAAAAGCCTCGATTTAGAAAGCTATCGCCAATGAACAAACGTTTCTAAGTTTCTTCTTTTAAATTGTTGCAAGAGAGAATCTGATTGGCTCAGTTCATCTAGCCTAACCAATGGGCCTCTGGTCCAATTAGATCTGGATGAGTGAGTGTGTGTGTGTGTGTGTGTGTGTGTGTGTGTGTGTGTGTGTGTTTCTAGAGCCTGGTAAAAAGGACATTGGTCTCTTGTAGAGATGTGGGTGTATCTATTCCAGGCCCTCATCAGGGACAAGGCTGTGGATTAGGCACTTGTGACAATGACCTGTGAGGTCTGACCTTTAATTCTGAGTGCCTTGAGGACTGTTCCATGATTCATGGACTTCACTTACTGTCCCTGAATCTTGCAAGACAAGGTCTGCTTGCCTTTTGTTTCCTTGTTTCAGGGCTTCATTTAATGATTAGTCCAAATCCTTTCTGCTCTGCCAGAATTAAACCACTTAAAATTTGTCTTTTTTTTAGTTAATTTCACAGTTTTTTTCCCACAGAGATTGTAAAGTTCTTGAAGGGAAAACCTTATATTTAGAGATAATGTTAGCGATTTTAAAGATATGGAAACTGAGGCCCAGGAGAAGAAAATGTCTCATGGAGGGAGATGTCAGGTGGACACCTAGCTGTGTGTGTAGCATGTTTCTAATAAATATTTCTTAGTTTATTTCTTATTCCACATTTGTTTTTCTCAAGCTTATTGACTTCTGCCCATGTCCCTTCCTCCACAACTGACAGCCACCTCAGGGGATCACTTTGCACCTGCTGTTCAAGTGACGGTCTCTGGGCTGTGCAGTGGAAGCTGAGAGGAGGCAGTGGTGAAATTCAACCTGGGTCTATCAAGCCATTATCTCTGTAGACCAACACCACAGTAAAGGCACAGATGCCAGCCTGGCAACTTCCTTCCTCCTGTGGGGTAAGTGGCCACAAACTGTACAATGAAATCACTCTAGCTCCCACCAAAGTCATTATTTCTGCAGTGCTCCCAGGCCAATGCTGTACAACAGGAGCTTGGGCCACTGCTGAATTCCTTCCAATAGAAAGTCACAAGAGGCTTTAGTCCTCCCCTTTCCTCCCAGAAGTCTCTGATCACTGCAGCCTGCTGAGCTCACTTTAAGTCATCATCATGCAGTGGGCCATTTTATTTCTTAGGATGGCCTAGATGTCAGGCTGGTCACAGCATCTGAAAGTAGGTAATTTCTCTAGCTTAGTACTCTTGTGGGTTCCCACCAGGCCGTCAATCAATGTGAATAGTGCAGGGTGCAGTTCAGTGGTAGAGTATGGGCTTAGAATGTGTGAAGCCCTAAGTTTAATCTCCAGCACCAAAAATTTAAACTAACCACACATATACATAAATGTGAGGACTCAGGGGGATATTTTTTCCCTGAAAAGCTATGGAGGGAACAGGAAGAGTAGGGAGAAAGAAGAAATATTTTTTTGCTAGTGTCTCAGGCAAGTATGGATTAGCAGCAACTGCTTAAAACACTGAGAACCACTGTGGTTTTCATTTCTAGGCTGTTTGGCCACTTCAAATCTGATGCGGTTACCCAGTACTAGTATCATTTCTGCAGGAGCCCCCAGATCATTAACTCAGCAGCTTCTCTGGCTCTAACTTATGGGTTGGGTACAAGGTCAGTGGCAATGCAGGGAAGAGGGCTTTAGATGTAAGCCCAGCCCCCTACTTGCCATTTTCATCCTAGGGAACCTCAGTCTGAGGGATGCATAGAACCATCTCCCAAGTTTCCATTCTGCCCTGAAATGCCTATCAGCAGAAGCCACTCTGGAGAGACCTCAAGAAAAAAACAAAAAAGGGAGGGTTGGAGGACAGAATACATGGAGGATCTTAGGAGGTTAGTGAAGATTTATGTTTGGAGGTAAAGCAGAAAGTCAGGCTCTGAGGACACAGAAAGGCAGAAAGTAAGTCTGATGTGCAGCAGTATGGTGTTTGGGGGCACCACCCAGAGAAGGTGGGCTTGGATGGGGGTCTTTGGGCAGGAGGGTGGGGAGGAAGAGAACACAAACTACAGTCAGTGAGGAGGGTGGGTGGGGGAGGTAGGAGCAAAGGATCTTTGAAGACTAAGGTAAGATCACACACTAGAATCCTCCTTGGATTCCTCCCTGCAATACCAGCTCTGCTGGTCTGAAGCTACAGAAAGAAAGTCAAGCATCACTCTTATAGGCTAGAAAGACCTTAAGACAGGAAAGAGACTTAGCCATCATTAAGAACTTTCCCTGTTACAGACTTCTCTTATGTACATTATTCCATCTGTTCTTGCAAAGCCAAGAATGTTGTTGAATAAACTGCCCAAGGTCACCTCACCTGGAGGTTAAATTAGCTGCCTAAGGTGGCAGAGCCTGGAAGACCATGGTGAGGATGCAAACCCAGGCTGACTCCAGAGCATGTTGTCTTCACTGCCTAGCTTACTCCAGGCCTACATCCCACACAGAGGCCCTTGCTCTCCATGGGTGTTTTACATTCTACACCTTGCTCAGCCTCCCCTCCCTCACCTCTGGGGGTGTGACTTAAATCGAGAGTAAAGCCAAGATTCAGACAATTTCATTCTTGTTTCATTTACAGATGGCAAGTATCACACAATATACAAAACCAGCACTGACAACAAGCTAAAGAAATGAGAATTTGCTGAAAGGATAGAATCTAGTACTATTAGTTACTATTTTGTAAGCCCAGGAAATTATCCAGATGTTAAAGCATAAAAATAACTCACTGCTAAGCCAATGAGGCATTAATGCTAAGAGGGACAAAGTAGTGGGAAAAGTCAGGTGTGCTGAAGTCTGCCCCATTGGTGGCGGGGGGCTGGCATACAGACACCTGGCTTCCAGTACCATTCTTCCTCTTGGCAACACCTGCCTGTGGATGAGTTGCTAGAATCTCTGGGCCTGCTGCCCTTCTCCAGCAGGGCATGGAGTGGGGTGTCACCCACCATTCCTTTGCCTAAGTTAAAAATCTTAAGGGAAAAGTCATCCTAGTAATTCTTTGCAGAAATACCCTTCCCCTGACTCTCTCCTACTCTGTCCTTGTTGGCTACTCCTCTAGGGGTTCCACACTTATCCTTATGTTAAGTGTTGACTTATCCTGTACTTTCACAGATGGTGGGTCTTTGACTAGACTGAGCTCTTTGAGAGCCCAGACTGAGAGTATTCATGTCTTGGCATTCCCAGATGTGCCTTGTCTGTAGAAGGGCTTGGCAAATGTAAGTATTCACTAGTACATGGATTTCTACAACAGTTCAACGAGTCTAACTTTCTTGCTCGGTGGGGTGCAAGCATCTTCAATTTTTCCTAAAGGCTGCTCTGTGCCAAGTTTAGCTTTAAGTGGAACAGTGGTTAAGCGGTGACTGAATTATCCACAGCATCGAATTCTCCCAGCTACCATGTCCCAGCCTTTAGCATGGCCAATGGAAAATTAATTGGTTGTAAAGTGCATATCTAATTACCACATCCCGCCCCTGCCACAGCAATGCTCAAATGTTAATTATAACATATGCATCTCAATAACCGACGAAGGTACTTAATGCAGCATTAATAACGCGCCCCCTCCCCGCACCCAGTGTATACACAAAGCTCTCTTTTATCTGCCATTAGGATACACTGCACTTTACGCGTGGAAGTCCTCATCTTTACAGGCTTCCACATTCTAAAACCAAGTCTGGACAGTGCCTCTGTCATTCTTCGCCACGACAGATGTCCCCGCCCAGGCCGCGCCAGAGCCAAGGCTTCGTTGGGTGGCAGGCTCTACCGTCCCTAGACTGAGCTGTCTTGGGAGCGCAGGTTAAAGCGCGGCGTCCCGGCGGCACCCGCTTCCAGGGCCCGCCATCCCGGGAAAGAAAGGCGAACTACATTACCCAGCAGGCCTGCCACCGCCCTCTTTCCTTTCAAGTCTGCACGTGGCCGGAGGGGGAGGCGGGGCCTGGACGTCACTCTCCTACGGTCTCTTTCCCTGTGTCAGACAGGGATCTTTTTTTTAATTTCTTTCCT